GGAGGAGGAGGAGGAGGAGGAGGAGGAGGTGGTGGAGGCGGAGGAGGAGGAGGAGGAACAGGTGGAGGAGGAAGTGTCAGCTGGTTACAAGGTTTCAGCAGTGGCATGACGAGTACCACCGGAGGAGTCACGTGGAAAGGCACCACATACAAAACCTATCCCATCAAAATCAAGGTCAAGAACCAGCGCGAGGGTCCACGTTTTGACCCCAAAGTAAAAGTCATCACCATGTCAGAGGGAGGCAGCTCAACCTTCAACATGAACAACATCATTACTCGCTACGCTGCGCTAGACGGCGATACGGGGAAACCAGCCGAGAACGTGAGGTGAGTGGCTACACCGGCACAATAATAATAATAATAATACATTTTATTTATAAGCGCCTTTCAAGACACCCAAGGACACTTTACAATGTGCTACTACTTTTGACTTGATCGTAAAACTATAATAAATCAAAACAAAATACTGAATAAAAATCTGCTTTTTTAGTAGTGGTATGTTTATGAACCGTGATATAGTGGAGGAACACTGTAAAAAATTATACACAGACCTGAACCAGTCTGTGCGTGCGCATTGGGTTGCAGGTACGTTAAAGGTTCGGATCCTGACAACTGGCTCACCATTGACCCGAAGACCGCCGATATCAGACTGAACAAGATGCCTGACAGAGAGTCCACTTTGTTAGTGAACGGCACCTACTACGCCAAAGTACTCTGCATTTCTGAAGGTACATAACCACAATCGGCTCCTGACTCTGTACATACCAGGTATACGTTGAAGTTCCCAAGGGAAACGTGTCTTGTAGACAATGTAAAAAAACAGTTTGGATGCCATAGAAACAATAAATACATTTGAAAAGGGAGCGGTTTGTGTTGCTCTGGTGACAAAGTAGTCTCTTGTCCTTCGATGTGGATATTGCCCAACAAAATGTGGTAGCCTTTAATAGAAGTCTGTAAGGGTGGGCGATGATTCTCCGGGTGTGTGTCGACATGTGGTGTTGGCGTAGCGTTCTTAGCCGAAAAAAAAAAAGACTCGATGTTAATTGCCTCTTCCCCATAAATAGATGCACCATCGGGCACCGCCACTGGGACTGTAGCTATCCAGGTGGAAGACTTCAACGACCACTGCCCCACCCTCACCAGTACCCTCGAGACTCTGTGCATTCCCGAGGAGGCGGCCATTATCAGCGCTGTCGACGAAGATGACTTCCCCAACGGAGCTCCTTTCACTTTTGAAATCATCCCAGAGAACACTCAGGGAAAATGGCAGGTGGAGCATCTCAACGGTGAGGAGACAACGTCCAGTGTGTTTTGGATTCATCTGGGAAAAAGCCGGGTCGATACGCGAGTCGCTCAAAGGAGTTTCATTCTGGGACTGTTTCGATGTGATGTGAAAAAGTATCTTTTTTGCTCAGTGGGACATAGATTTGACAGTCATCAGCATAGCAATGGAAGAAAATACCATGTTTCCTTAAGATGGAAGCCAATGGGGGCAGATACAGTGAGAACAGCAGAGGCCCCAGAATTGAGCCCCGTGGAACACCAGACATGACAGCGGGGCAGTATGTGACTCAGAGTAGCCAAGGTTAACACAAACATATGAGTTGAGTTTAGTTGAGATAAATAACCGAGTCCTGTTATCGATGATTGGCATCATGGCGTTGAGTGACAGTGATTTTGCAAGATAAATATGCGGGTCAATGGCGTTTTAAATCACACAATGTTATTTTTTAAAATCACGCCGATTATCAATCAAGAAAAGTTTTTGTCATAGCCGTGTATCTTGTCGGTGAACACACTGTTGCTTTGTGATTGGTCCGTACCACTCGAAGCCAATCGGCAACGGATTCTCTAGGTTTTGTGAACTCATAAATAGTGCGAGAATCCATCTTGAAGGCAAGGTTAGGTTTGGATCTCAGTCTGCTTTAATTTCAGGCGAAATCTCACTGATGAATTTTTGTGGGCAGATACCGCGGCAATCCTGAGAGCCCAACAGTCCTTATGGCCTGGTAACCAGGAGGTGGAATTAATGGTGAAGGATGCGCAAGGACAGGCGTGCCCGGAGCCGCAGAAGGTGACAGTGCAGGTGTGCACCTGCGAGGACGGAGTGGTTTGCGGAGCCCGAGGTGGAAGGGGTCAGCCCAACAAAAAGTCTGAGTTGGGACCCGCAGGCATCGGTCTCCTGCTGCTGGGCTTGCTGCTACTACTGCGTAAGTGAAAATTTGCCTCCGTTTGGGTGAGGGTAGAGCCCGCCCAAGCCATGAGCCAAAACAGCACCTGCTTATGCTTCCAAAACCACAAGGGGTCCTCCAAGAGCAATTGACTGTGAAAAGAGCCTGGAGTACACTTTTCTCAATCATCCTACTGTAAATGTTCATTTGAATCAGTTGCGTTGCAGCAGGGAGAGATGGAAAACATGCAGGATAACGGCCCGATATTTTTGTGTTCCCACAGTCATCCCTTTACTGCTGCTCTTCTGCCAATGCGGTGGAGCTGCAGGCCTACCAGGAACCTTTACCAATCTGCCTTTTGACACTAAATCACATCTCATTAATTACCACACTGAGGGCCAAGGAGAGAACACGGTGCGTAACTGGAAAATGTTCTGTATGATCTGTAATTTGGAAGAAATGTACTGACTAACGTTTGAACCATCACAGGAGGTGCCACTCATGAACATGCCCACGCAAGTGGATGCTGTGGATCTCCAAAAACAGGATGCACAATTTTACACGGATGGGAGGAACATGCACAGCTTTCAGGAGGACTTCGGAATCAAAAGAGATTCGATGATGGGAATGAGAAACCAGCGAAGGCTCTACTCTGAGTTCCAAAGGGAGTCAGGGGCAGCTTATGATGATATCGGTTTCCCGCAACACATCCTTGCACAGTACTATGCTCAGGTACGGACTTTATATGTCCTAATGAGAGGTGTCGAAAGCACTCTGTACTGAAGCCGAAGTAAAGATACTTGTGTAGAAAAAGACTCTGGGCAACAGTGAAGTACTAAATTTAACTTGTTCAGTTAAAGACAGACGAAAACAGTTGCTCCTAATGTTTGTGATCAAAACATGTCTTTGTCCTCCCTCAACAGAAGTTGAGTGGCGGAGGAGAGGACCTGGCAGTGAAGGACGCGCTCTTGGTGTACGACAACGAGGGCCAAGGCTCCCTGGCCGGCTCGGTGGGCTGCTGCAGCCTCCTGGAGAACGACAACGATCTGCAGTTCCTCGACGACCTCGGGCTCAAGTTCAAGACCCTGGCAGAGGTGTGTGGCGGCAAAAAGATCCAAACAGAAGTCACTCCGCTGCCCCCGAAAGTCGTGGTTGAACCGAGGCCAGAACCCCCCAAGCTGCAACCGGTTATCCCCAAAGTAGAACAGACCGTGACTCAGGTGGTGAAAGAAAACACGACAACACGGAACAAAGGGAGGACCACCGTGATCGAAGGGGTGGAAAATCAAGGTCAGATGTTCCTGCTCCAGCAGCAGCAGCCGGTCTACTACACCGCCGCCGCCCCTGTGCTGCAGCCAATGCAGTATGTGGTCCAGCCACAAGTCCAGAATACCATGCTGCTGGCTGAGGCGCCGGCTACCAACCTCCAGGGCGTGATGCTGGCGGCTCCGCAAGGCATGCTGGTGCAAGGACAGACGGTGGTGTCTGGCGGGCAAGCCCAAGCCCCTGGCGTGGTGCTGGTTACGGGTACCCCTGGATCACCCACAAAAGGCATGATCGTACAAGGACAGACAGTAGTATCCGGCGGAAAAGCCCCAGGTTCTGGCCTGGTGCTGGTTACCGGTAAGCCGGGATCACCGACACAAGGCATAGTAGTCCAAGGAAAGAAGGTAGTGTCCGGGAAACAAGTCCAAGGGCCTGGCATGATGCTCGTAACGGGCACGCAATCAGGAACCTTACCCGGCTCCCAGACCATAATAGAGAGCAAGATTCCTGTGGGCAAAGTGGTGAGGACGAGCCAGACCTCCATCAAACAAGGCGGCGTCCAATTGCCAGACCTGGGCTTGCCCCAGATGAGCAACATCTCTGGATCTCACAGCACCACGATGACATCATCCAGTACCGGCGTGAGCAGAGTCCCGACATACCGCAAGGTGGTGCTACAGGAAGAGAAACTCACTGAACTGTGAGAAGGGCAAATGACTCTTGAAAGCAACTTTCGTCAAGGCGGCTCCTCAAGTATTTTGTTAGCGTGCAGGTTTTATTGGTGGTGGATGTTCTGCAGCAGCTTTGCCTCGGAGCGAAGCTACATGCGGCTGCACGTTCATGCTATCTGGCTCCTACCCGTCATGCGTGTTACGCTCTTTCTCAAGCAACCAATGTGGAGACCCTACCAGACACCTCATGGAGATTCTGTGTCTGTTTGCATCGGAACGGAGACCACGGAGCTCCAAAATGAGCAAAGTGCTCCGTTATCTCTTTGTTGGATATGTTGGCTGGGACTCCATGTTTCTGCCAACGAAAAAAAAAAATCTCTTGGCCTACTTTCATAACCAACCTCGTCAAGTGGCAAATCTTTGGTTTGGCCTGGACTGGGTTTTTTTTAACATTTTTCTTTTTGTGAACCTTCTGGATGAAAGCGATGCAACACCTGAAACATTACATGGACAGAAAGTCTGCTGCTTTGTTGGGGGGTAGGGGGAATTTCCTTCATTTTGGTGTGTCCTGAGTGAAACGTATGTTTTGATTTGTTCTCATTCAACAATTCCCAGATGTCTTAACGAGATATATTCCACATGTTTTTGCCAAAATACCAAAAAGGATCGCGTACGACAGTACACATTTCACCTTCTAGTCTTCTTGCTGAAATTCACCAGATTTTTTTTCCGGGGGGGGGGCGGTGTTCCTGACTCGTTCAGCTGAGCCAAACACAAATGCCCTCTGACCCTCACTGTGTCAACAACTTCACCGAGTAATCAAGTACCCTATGTGCCATTTAGCCAACTGTAATCAACATTCAGGGAAACTCAATGCAGCTCTGCTTACCTTATATTAAACTTTTCCCACAGTGGATTTAAAAAAAAGGCAGGAATTGGACAACTCAGGACTATATAACAAACCTCTTATGGACTGATTGATTGATTGATTGATTGACAGGCATTTCCCAAGACTGTGGTCCATGTAGGGTATTTGGCATTCTGGAGTTTTCTATAGATGAGAAATATTCTGCTGACTGGTGAGCAAACTTGGTTATAGATGTGCAGTATATATATGGATGTATGGATGCTTATGGATGTGCATTGCACCAGGGTGGGCTGATTGTATGTTTTTCACATGTCAGGAGAAGGTTTTGATTGACTTTTTTATTTTTAAACAGGAGTTCTTCTTTTTTCATTGATTGGAAGATGTTTTCTACAGCAAAATAAAAAGATGCGGTAGCGAGATTCAAATGTGTCACTGGTTCTTTGAGCTCATTAAACATGAAAAACTCGTTCGACTTGTCTGTGATGAGTTTTATTCCAAGACATTACTCGGAAGAGTGACTCCATGAAGGCCTTTGCACCGCACGCCGCACTTGATTTTCAAGGTGTTCACCGCAGGGGAGGAGACAATATACAGGAAGGACAGCAAGTCCGCCCATATTTTGGAAGTGGTTGCTTGGCAGCCAACCAGGAAGTCGTCTGGAGCAGTGCAGATTTCTCACCAAAGAGGGCGCTATACTGATACCAATCTGTTGAGTCATCAGGATGTATGCCACCGTAATTTGAGTAGACGCACAATTGCATTGGAACACACTAAGAAACATTGCCAGACCCGAGTCTTCAGGGGGGCATATAAAATGCATGGGGAGTTGGGAGAAAATGACTATTAGTCTACTCCAAAAAACAAGCAACTCGGACGGACAGCACGTCCCTTTATGGCCTGCCCACGGGGACGGATGGGAACACACTGAACTGGTGTTTGGACCTCCTCATTTAGCTACTGGATGCAACTCGCGTCATCCATATAAACAACGTGCCTGCAGCGAAACGTTTTCGCTGCATGCTGCACAGAGCGCAGATTAGTGAACCCCCCCACCCTGCCCCCCATTGGTCGTCAAAAGGTTTTGTTCATCCTCCCACTCTGAAGCTAACCAGCATCTTGATGACATAATGACAGGAAATGAGCGTGTTTGTGCTTCCAATTTTGGCTTTTTGCACTCTCACACGGCAGCTTCGTACCCTCTCGCTGCTTGGAATATTTTGTCTCCTTTGAACCAATCTAATTCTTTGCAATTTTGTCCATGGTGATAAAACTAAAGCCATTTTGTTTCTTATCACTGAGAATCGCTATAGAGCAGCGGGTGGCAACAGCGTAGCCAATCAGATCATTGGATGGACTTTAGGATGATCGGCAGGTGTGAGCAACGTGTCACAAAAATATTTGATGCTAAGCCACACACCCAAAATGAATCACAGTGTTGAATTCAGTGATCGATTTTAGAATGTGTTTCATGAGTTTTGCAAATACAATCATTTACAAATACAGTATTAGCTTTCTCTTTAAAAAGGAAACCATAGTTAATTGATGCGCTTTGGGGCAACTGCGTCAATCTCTAAGTTAACCTTTTTTGTTAGCTCAAAATGCTAATGTTGCAGTTCTCATTTGAGGCCTGGTTGGCAATGTATTTGGATTCCATGTCACATAATGCTACATTGTTGTTAGCTCAAAATGCTAAGAAAAACACCCGTTATGCTAACAGTAAACTACTAACCTCAAGTACCATACATGATGCTAGCAGGGAAGCTACCATTTCTTATCATAAAACCTATCTGGATTTCATAGTTGTTTTTATTTCATTTTATATGAACAGACTGCATTTTTGTGGTACGGTACTTTGAAACATAAAATGAGCTCTGTGTGTAGACTGGAAATGAAATGTGATGGGAGGAAGGGAGTGTGTGTGTGTGTGTGTGTGTGTGTGTGTGTGTGTGTGTGTGTGTGTGTGTGTGTGTGCGTAGGGGGCGGGCGGTGGGGGTGTATCACGACAGATGCGAGCCTCACTTGAAAGCAGACTTTCCACACACACCACCTCCACGTCCTCCTCCGGAGGGGGGCGTCGCATCACGTGTGGTCGGGTGAGCTTGGCGCGAGCTGGATGCCAGTTTGCTGTTCAGCCATGGCGCGAGCTCAGCTGCCGTGGAGACTCTTCTTCTTCTTCATCTTTTTCTTCTTCCGGAAGCCCCTGCAGACACAGGTACTGTAAGTCAAGCGGTGTTTGGTTGTTTGCGGGTGCGCACATACAGTACGTCTCCGAGGGGTTGGCTGATCTCGGTTGCTATGGCGACCGCTTCCACGATGAAGCAAGGATCCATCCCACTCGTCATGCAGTGAGGCGTTAACTGACTTTTAAGGACTTAGGGTACCTAGGCTCAATAGACTGAGCCAAAGTCACAAACATACATGTACTCAAGAGTGAGTGACAGAGAGTTACATAATTATGTCAGTGCACATCACTGACTTAGGTCGACACAAATTCAATACAGTGAACCCTCGCTATAACGCGGTTCACCTTGCCCGGAATTTTTGGTGCATTTTTTTTTTCTTTTAAACAGTGCATTGTGTTCTGCATCCTGATTGGCTAAAGGACCAACATCAACAGTCTCCGCCCCTCGTCTCTGTACAGCTTGCCAAATTGACGTTCAACAAAAACGGGTTTTGATCTTTGGTTTCATTCTGTAGTACAGTATTGTATTTTAATTGGAAAATATAAAGCTGATTTCAACTGTCGTGATTCCAAATTCATGCTAATATTAAAATTTTGTACCTTTCTACACGATGATTAAAATGGCAATGCAGATTATTTGCTCAAGACTCCACATTCATTTAGGTTATTGCGCCCCCTGCTGTTACATTCCGGGGTTGCATGGAGTGGCACGAAGTGGTTCATGTTGATTAGGAGTTAGTCAGTTTGAGGAAAGAGACGAAAGTGTCAGGTCCACACGGCCAGAGCTCCGATTTATTCTAATTACTGCTGACTTCCTGTTCAGAAAGCGAAGCGACATGTGACCGTGACTCATTTTATTTCCTTGAGACGCACGTAGGTATGTTGTACATTGTGTACTGTCAGAGATTTTCTCGGACAAAGTTAAAGAAATGACTCGGCACACAGGAAAATTGTCTTCAATATCGGCGGGAGGGGGATCTCTGAGAGCGAACGACGGTAGTTGCTCCGATGATCACACTCTCGAGCTCCCTTCCCGCCAATTCCGACTTTTATTGTAACATACAAGGAAAACACTGCCCCCGACATTTGCATACCGCACCCCCGGTCCGGCCCCTCGGTAGTGATTGGTTACCTGAGTTTAAGCTTTGAACCACCAGTACATTGGCGCCTTTCTGTCTGGTCCACACTGTATCAACATGTTGCAGACTTCGCGGACGACAAATGTCGCCTGGGCGCGACGGGTGTTCTCAACTCGTCTTTTGTTGTTCAACCGCTGTTCCCAAATTATTCATTCCCCTTTTGTGACCGAGTTTCGCCCCCTCCCCTGTGATTGCCCACCTGCATTGACGTGCTAATTGTGGACTTCAACAGCCCTCCGGCCAGGTGGCCGGCGCCTTTGTGCACAGGCATTTGGAAGTGCTGGATACGCGCCCAAACGTTTAGATGTGTCCAAATTAAATGAAACTTTAAACATGATACAATTTTGCTCATAAATTCCTCTAACATGTACTTATATATTTTTGTCATTATTTTTCCATCCGCGATGGACGTGTGGACACTAAAGGCTGTTGAACATTGGTCGACCCATCAACTCGGAGGAAAACCTTTACGAGCGGTTACACTGACACCTTCACGGATTTCGCCTCACGTGGGTTCTTTTTTTAACCTAATCCCCGCAATAAACGAGGCTTCGCTGTGTAGACACCACATACATAGATTCAAATAAACTCACCAAGTCACACAGACTTGCATGGACTCACATACTTATTGTACGAATTCATGAAAATTCACTGATGGTTTTCCACAGACCGCAAGTATATCGACTCACATGGACCATGACAGTTATCTGATGAGCTGCAGTTCTTGATGAGAGTGACTTGAGGCATAGAGGTCCCCGGTGGTCTTAAGCACGGAAGTGAACCTCTTGCTAGGAAACCCCGAAAATTTTGATAAGAGATCAGAGATAGACCACATTTTTTTAACTCTTCACGTGCAGGGTAGGCGCCGCCTCACCTGCCTCCCCCTGCAGCAAGATCGCAGCTAAGCATTACTTTTGTTGAAATGAAGCTGTGCGTAGTTCCTTGACAAAGCACTTCTTTTGTTTTTTTGCTCACTCAAATGTTGGCGTAAGCGAGGAATTCTCTTGTGCGACCGATTTGAAAGACGCTCCCATATTTGCACACGTCCCACGAATGGCACCTCTTCATGGAAATTTCCCCCACCCTCCGCTTTCTGTTCCTCCTCTACGTTTCCAATGGGAGCCCATTAAGGCTTCGAGCTTTATCGTCATCCATAATGGATGAAGACTGAACATCCAAGTCAAACGTGCTGCTCTTCATCACCTCCAATGGCACTGCAACAGGACATTCCAAACGGACACGTCATTCGCGACAACGTTCACACAGACAGAGGGTGATTCATTTTATCCGGCACAGTTAAAAAAATATATACCGTAATTTCCGGACTATAAGCCGCGACTTTTGTCACACGCTTTCAACTCTGCGGCTTATTTCATGAAGCAGCTTATATAAAGACTTTTCTAACGGCCGCCTGTGTACCGTCTTTCTTTGTAAATATCTCATGTTACAATATGGGCACCTGCGGCTTATACACAGGTGCGGCTTATGTGTGTACAAAATATTTTTTTTCCTTTTAAAAATGTAGTGGTGCGGCTTATAATCAGGTGCGGTCTATCGTCCAGGAATTACGGTATATATAATATTTAAATATAGCAAATACATGCTCTACATAAAAACAGCAGCCTCTTCTCATGAATAGCCGATCGTTCGTCCACTTGGCGGAGGTGGCGCGAAGGCTGCTGAAAGCAAACTGAAGACCACGAGAATTGACCGCGGCTATGCAAGGAAAAACAAGCTGGGATAAGCCAAGATAATGTAACCTGTGCGGGTGTATGGTTGACGCAGAGTCTCAACCAGTGGTCAGAGTTTCGAGCCAGCGTGAGGGTTTTCCAAGTCAGTCGAAGATGATTGCGGGGAGGCTCAAAAGGAAAAGTACTCCAGGGAGATGTTTTCATCTTGAAGATCAATTTTTGTTGCCGATGCTGAACTCTCAGTGTGTGTGTGTGTGTGTGTGTGTGTGTGTGTTTGGCGACCCCCCCACCCTCACCCCTACAGGCGCGCTTGTCGTCAGCCCACCTGAAGTGTTTGTTTGTGTGCTGGCTGGCGGTGTTGGTGGGTAGCTGGGTGGTCTACGTGGAGTACTCGTCCTACTCGGAGCTGTGCCGAGGACGCCAGTGCACCGCAGCCATGGTGGGGCAGACTTGACGTGGGCTCCTTGAGCCATGCGGCCACCTTGTCTGATGCTGATGTTGTGTTCAAGTGTGCCAAATACAGAAAAGGCCTGGTGGATGGCTCAGCCTGCAGCAGCTTGTGTGACAAAGACACGTTGGAGCTCGACAAGTGTCTCAGCACGCACGCCGCCAAACAGGTATGCTCGGTCTGAATATTCTAAGCCCCACTGAAGACCCCGTCGGGAAGCAAATTCATTCTTTAACTTGATTTTTTTTCCCATTTTCTCTTCTGTCTGTGTTTTGCAGGTGTACTCGGGCATGTGGGGCGACCTGGAAGGTGTGGTCAGGTGTCGGATGGACGAGGCCCCTGCTTACGACGTGGGGAGCCAGATGGAGGCCGGGAAGGAGGCCGCCGCCCTCTTCGACACCCCCCCTACGGGGACTTCCGTGGAGAAGTTCAGGGAGATGATCCTTGACCACCTCAAGGTACGCAGTGGGAGCTTGAAAACCAACGATCCCCAATTCATTTGGGGTTCCTTGGCCTACCAAAGGTTAGCAAACGCCGTTTGAAAGAACCCACAGCTCAAAACTCACAAAATTGTGGGTGGGGGTGTTTCTCACAGGCCAAAGTGGACGAGGAGCAGGCCAACCTTGGCGAGCTGACCGCCCGCGCCCTGGCGGCAGCCGACGCCAACAAGGACGGTCGCATTTCCCTGGCGGAGGCGAGGTCTTCGTGGGCGCTGCTGCAGCTCAACGACTTCCTGCTGGCGTTAGCGCTGCAGGAGCGCGGCCACACGCCCAAGATTCTCGGCTTCTGCGGCGACCTCTACGTGACGGAGAAGGTACCGAACGCGCCACTCTACGGTGTCAGGGCGCCGGCCTGGACGCCGGCCTGGGTGCGTCGCGCTGCCGATCACTGGTTCACCCCCGCCTGGCACCACAGAGCCAAGATCTCCATGGGACTCCTGGAGCTGGTTGAGGATCTGTTCCACGGAGCCTTCGGCAGCTTCCTCATGTGCGACCTGAGCGCTGCCCACTTTGGGTACACCGGGCGCTACGATTTTAGGGTGGCCGATGCCCAGAACATCGTCCCTCAAGCCACCTTCCAGGAAGCCATCCGGCAGCAGAGGTGCGACAGGGACACAGACTGTGTTTACGGCGTGGACTGTCTCACTTCCTGCGATCTCACGAAGCGGCGCTGCACCCCCGAAGTGGCCGAGCCCAACCTAGTTAAGGCCTGCCGGGTCCTGGAAGACTACGTCTTGCAGGGCGCGCCCTCAGACATCCGCGAGGAACTCGAGAAGCAACTGTACGCCTGCATGGCGCTGCGGGGATCGGCGGAGCAGGCCGAGATCCAACACTCGTTGGTTCTCAACAACCTCAAGACGTTGTTATGGAAGAAGATCTCACACAACAAAGACTCCTAACCAAAAGATATTGGTCAGAGCATTTTAATCTGCATCAGGGTTTTGGCGGGCTTTACGGGAGTCTAACCTTATCCTATGCAGAATCATAATCAAAAATATTTCTTGGGAACTCTGATCTGGATCCAGATGCCTCCTTTTATACAGATACATATTTCATTATTTGGATGCACAAACTCTGGGGGATTTAAGGCGGTTTTAGCTCAAGGAGCGCGCGCATATTTTATGGAATTTCTAATAATCTTACCCTAACACAGCTTTTTGTGTCGTTCAGGCAGTCTTATTTTCGCCAAACATGTTGGGCTTATATTATTCTCGTTTTAATTGACACAACTATTCGGGGATTTACGGTACAGTATTCTCATATTAATATGTTTTGCTTTGTGGGCATCATCTTATTTTAACCAAAGTAACTTTTTGGAGATTGAGTTGTTGTGTGATTATTATTTTTATTCTTTATACCTTGAATGGATTTACAGTGTTAATTTTAACCAGTGCTCCTTGGCGGGGGCTGTTTTTTGTTTTTGGCAAAGTCATGTGGAACCAGTGCACCTGCTTTGCACTGGCGCGCTGGCTTCTTCTTCATTTTATTTTATGTATTTATTTATTACGGGTCTGTTGTAAAAGGTATCCACAGAAAGATACGACTCCTACAATGGTTTTGTGGCATTTTTGCTGAGTGACATTTTGCTAATGCTAAAGATGTGACTTGGCTAAATAAAAGTTGATAAACATATGGTACTGCACTTTTGAGTGAAATGTGCCCTCTCTACCACGTCTACACACTGAGCTAATTAATTCTGAAATTAAAATCGAGGCGTCCTGATTGCGACTCAAGATGTTTTGCTGATCGAACTTGGCCGGCTTGGACCAATCAATCAGAGGATGGGAAACATGCCGACGTCATTGTATCTGGCCCATTAAGGCCAGTTCAACGTTGTTTATTTGAAATGTGATTGGTTAACATTTTCAATTAGATTCACATAGCAACACATAAAAAATATATATATCATACTACCCGGAGCTGGAAGCTCAGCTCAAAGAAATGCTATCAAATTAACAGGAAATACTGTTGGCAATAAATTTATAAAATCTCATTCAACACATGTTCGAATTTAGGTTGGAGTTTCCTCACATTTTCCAACGTGGAAAAGTAGGTCAGTCAGTGCTTTGTTGGCCCTGATGACCCTGCGAATTGCCGTTACGTGGACGATTACTGTCATTTCGTTAACTCGCGTGTAACAACAGATTTTACAGTGTAAATGCGGATCAGGTAAAAGACAGAAATTCCGAAATATATTCAACAAATGATTCTGCTTTATGACATCGGAGTTGGCAAATCAGAACAAACAACGCAACAACGCCCCCTGACGACCAAAGAAGACGTCACCCGTCGAGTGACGACGACGACTACGCAAGACCTCGATGCTAATGCTAACGGCGCTAGTGAATGCACATCTTCCAGTCTGCTCAACATGGCTCCCTTTCCGGACGAGGTGGACGTCTTCACGGGCCCGCACTGGCGAATGAAGCAGCTGGTGGGCCTTTATTCCGAAAAAGTAAGTGTGCGAGGGAGTGTTTGTGCTGCAAATATCTTCTTTACAACGCCTATCGTGGCAACGTTGGCCCCCAAATACGACGACGCTCGCTCGCTCGCGTTAGCTTGGGGGGCTAGCTACGTGATTATGCAACAGGCTTTTTTTTTCCGACAACACAGCTGCTTATTTCCGTTAGCGCGTAATCAGAATGAATTTCTGCAAATTTGTAAATACAAAATGGCACTTACATGGACGGTAATGCTCCGTAGCGTGAGCTTATCACGCTAACTAGCGTTTGTGAAAGAGGGGTGTTGCTGCTGCCTATGATGACGTCGATAAGAAAACAATAAAAATGTTGTAACTCTGTACTTCCACCTCCACAAAACGAAACGAAAACAGTTTTTTTGATGTTTACAATAACTTTATGAAGAGAAAGTTGTGGGAATCGTTTTTTTTGTTTCGAAACGAATCGTTTTAAAACACGTTGTTTTTATAAACCAAGCTTAAGTCCCTTTATTTGCAAAAAAAGAAGAAAAAAACTGAAGAATGAGCTTTCCCTCACAAAATCAAACATGAACGATATGTTTTTATTGAAACAATTTTTTAAAAACGTAATTTAAGCCTTTTGCCAACAACACGTGTTTTGTTTGCCTTCTGAGGTTGACATATGTTGTTTTTGATTGGCAGCTGTCAGAGACCAACTTCTCCAACATCAGCGACTTCCGCTCCTTCCTCAAGTCGCTGCTGGCCACCTTCAAGGAGTTCAAGATGCACGAGCAGATCGAGAACGAGTACATCATCAGCCTGCTGGAAGAGCGCTGCTGCACCGTCTACAACATGCACTCGGACAACAAACTCTCCGACATGCTGCTGCTCCTTGAGAAGGGCCTGCACAACGTCAAGGTCGGCCCGCTGTCGCGATGCTTTCTTGGGGGGGAGAAGCCCTCTGAGCATCTTTTTCATATCCTTGCCGTTGGGCCAGTTACAAGTATGGAAAATGAATTTAAACTAGTGATTTTTATTTATTCATGTTTTTCCAAATTGAAAACTTTTTACGGGAATTTGTGTGAAATAAGTCTTCTACGTTTAAGGAGAAAAACTCCAAGAGGAAATAATATTTAAATAATATTACCTGGAAGTTCCCAGTAATTTTCCATGCATAGTGAACTTCGCGATTTTTGATTATCTTCCAAATTGAGAACTTTTTATGGGATCTGATGTTAAAAAGTAGTAAATAATATGCACAAAAAATAGTCAAACTGCTTACAGTGTTTCGGAGAATAAATGAATAATTTTTATGGGGAAATATTTTTGTGTGGGAAAAAAAAGTTAAAAATGACCGAGAAACAGCTTTTATGTAATCATTTCTTATCTTACACGGGAAAAGGTCATTTTAGGCCCAAAAATATATATATAATTAAGGTAGCATATGTAAAATTTCACGAGGAAAAAAAGGTGTAGATTCAAATGAAAAATGGGGTCTTACATGTAAATTAACTTGAAACGATGAGAATTGGATGTTTTTTAGAAGGAATTTGACGCATTTGGCTGGCAAACAGCTCAGGTGTGTGTTGACTTTGACCGCACACACCCATGATTATTTCCCATGTCCAATGTGCTGACTCCTTGCATGACGTGTGGTCTTATCGGATGTCTAATCGTTGTCTAATCGGTGTCTAATCGTTGTCACGCCATTGATTCCGAAAGTGAAAGAAAACATTGAGGGGTTAAAACTCTCAACGGTGCCAATAAAGCCATTCGCTCAATGTTTGCTGTGTTCACAGAGCGAGTACGAGCAGCTCAACTATGCCCAGCAGCTGAAGGAGCGACTGGAGGCTTTCACTCAGGACTTTCTGCCCCACATGAAGGAGGAGGAAGAGGTAGACCAACGAACCCTTGTGTTCTCTGATTTTCTCTTTCTCTCTGTATTTTTTATTTTATTTTTTTAATTTGGAGCTCAATAGTTTTACAGCTTGTAAAAGGCGCACCTTCAATGAATGGCCTATTTTGTCATTATGCCGCTCACATACCGGCTTCAATCACATTCAAATACTCATGTTTCCATTTCTTTTTGGGTTTTTTTTTTTTTTGGTCACGGCGTTGTCCGAATGGCTGGTCGATTTACAAAAAATGCGTTGCAGGTGTTTCAGCCCATGCTGATGCAGCACTTCACCTACGAGGAGCTGAAGGCCATCAAGAAGCAGGTGATGGCGCAACACTGCACTCAGCAGCCGTGGAACTGCGCCGCCGACGTCCTCAAAGGCTTCCGCCTGTGGAGCCACGCCGAGGAGCTACAGAAGGCCTTCAAATATGCAGACCATGAGAAAACCGACTACGGTTAGCTGCGCAATGTTTCAAACTCTTTTAACAGCAGCGGAGCAAAAAATAATAATTTTGTGGGGAAACAAAAATCAACGTTTTGGAGCAGGGGATTTACAGCTGGTCTTCCCACAGAAGTGGAGCATGACGGGGCTTGTTCCATACACATCTCCCAACTTCCGGCTGAAGTCATCTTGAGGATCTTGGGCTATTTGGGCCCTCAGGATCTTTGCCGCTGCAGCCAAGTGTGCTCTTCCTGGTCTGAGCTGGCCAAGACCGGGTCTCTGTGGAAGCACCTTTACCCCGTACGCTGGGCCAGAGGTAGTCGATGCCGACTCAGAAGTACATATTGTCTCCGTTGGGGGAAATAAGAGACAGTTTCCAAGATTATGGTCATAATGTCTCCCGAAAAGACTTCATTTGAGACTTCATTTTTCAAGAAGCGTTTTCACCGGACTAATACATGTAACGGTGGTGTATGTATGCGTGTGTTTAAGGTGACTACTACAACAGCCCGCCTGGCGATTCTGACCAGGAACCGGATGACGGCTGGCTGAAGAGTCGGGAGAAGGAAGTGCGCGCGTACCAAGAGTGGGATGAGGATGCCGACATTGATGAATCTGGTGACCTTGCCGTTATTTTCAGTCACAACGGTGATAGCTTGACTTAAGAGATGAACGCCTCCCTTCACCAAAACGCGGATCGTCTTTCCCCTTTTGAAACGAATAAAGATGACACCGTTCATCTTTGGGTGCTCCACCAAAAAAAAAAAAAAAAAAAAAAAAAACACCAAAGCAGAAAAACAAAACAAAACAAGGCGATTGGGTGACGGCTCTGTAAAAAGGCGTCATTTGGGGCATTCGTAAGTCAAGGCAGCACTGTTTTGTGAGCCATCGGGCATGACTGTTGTGATTCTGATTTAAATGCCGTCACACGCGCGGTGCTCTTTGCGTCTCAAGACGAGTGCGGCGACTCGTTGGCCATCAGCACGGCCCAGCGTGAGAAGAGACTCCTGAACGGAATCATCCAGAACCTTCTCCCGGTCGTGGGCCCGCACGTCAAGTCGCTGGTGCTGGCCTACGGCTCCACCGTGTCCAGCAAAATGGTGCGTATGTGCGCGCACAAATATTTGAGAGAAAAGAAAATACACATTGCTGTGTAGTATTATATGATGATTTCCAAAAATCAATACGTAGACATTTATCAAAAATTAAACAAATATTGGGGGGGGGAAAATTGGGTGGGGGGAATACCTAAAAATTCTGAACAAAGTACACAAGTTTTATAAAATAGTGAAGCTATTTTACAACTATTAAAAGAATAAATGGGAATACAATGTTGCGAAAAATGAGAAACTAGGGAAAAAAAGCCACAATTAGATCACTTCAACATCTTGAAAACAACTTGAAAAATAAAATGAGATGAAAAATAGGCAAGTACTGGAGTTTGGAAAAAATACGTAAATATTTGAAGATAAATGCCACACAGCTATTAAAAGAAAAATAATGTAGTATACAAACATTTGACAAAATATAAAACATTGGACAAATCAAAATTTTTGAAGAAAATGTACCTGAGAATTTTGGGGGGGGTTAAAAAAAAAAACCCTGCATGCACATGGGAAAAGGTAACAAAATAGATGAAAAAGTAGTGGGGAGGAGGGTATCCCGAAAAAGCCCCTAATCATGTGTGTGCGCACGACTTGACGGACGCCGTGCTTGTGTGACGAGTGTGTTAAGCGGCGTGTTGTTGCCCAGGTGCGTCAGATCCTCAGTCTGTGTCCTAACGTGACTTATCTGGACCTGACGCAGACGGACGTCACCGATTTTGCATTTGACAGGTAAACTTAAAAGATCAAGTCACACCTGAACCGCACAACACTCGCTTGGGCCATCTGCTTTGTTCTTGACAATCACGCCATGTTTTTGCGGTTCATTGAAATGCAGTGGTATGGAAGCGTATTACTTCCAGTGAAAATTTCGACTGTAGTACCGTATGATCTGACCTTTGGTGTGCGTGGAGGCTTAACGCTTTCCCACATTGTCCTCAGCTGGTCATACGTTGGCGCCTGCACTTCTCTGGAGCACCTGGACCTGTCGGGTTGCGACAAGATCACGGATCATGCCCTGAAGAGACTCTCTCTGGCGTTGGGAGACCTCAACGCCCTGTGGCCGTCGCGGCGCCGCCGCCAACGGCGGCAGCGGGCCGTCATCTTGAAGCAAGGGGCCGGCGGCTGGAGGCCCGCCTGGGTGCCGGCCGACATCGAGGACTCGGCGGAGTGGACGCGGCGAGGCCGCGAGGAGGTGGAGAAGCGCTTGGTGGAGACTCAACTGGTGGGGAGCCTGTGCTGCTGCAGTCGGGGCCGCAGGACTGGCCCCGATGCCGCAATTTTGCACTACGCCGTGTCGACGGACAGGTTTTGCGCTCACGCCGCCTGCTGCAACGGCGACAGCGGCGAAGCCCTCTGGACTAACAGCCGCCGCTCGCCAGTGGACACTAAATGCCCCGTCAACAGGACTAACAAGTCGGGCGCCAGGCGCGTGCTCAACTTTCTCAGCTTGTCCGGATGTTACCAGGTCACAGACGTGGGACTCAGGTAGGGCTGCCTAGATTAAATTATGATTATTTTTTTTTTTTTAGAAATGAGTCTCCTGATTATCTCATGGATTAATCAGATAAATCCTAATATTTTTTAAAAATTATTATCAAATAGCAAAATGTGCATTTGAGGTACAGGTAGGATTATTTTCCACATAGGGGGCACCATCGTCACATGCCACACTTCTCCTATCTGCGGCTTTAAATGTGTGTGGCTTTAAAAGGCGGGACCTGGCCTGCACAGTGATTTCAGAGTCAACAAATGATGGCATAGTTGACTGTTAAAAAATTTAAAAAAAAATTAGGGCAAAGCTTCAACTCTTATCAGGTTGGGGTGGGGAGACCACCTTTTTTTTTCTCCTCTGAAAAGCATACAAAACAAAACACGAGAGTGTTTTTCAGTGTTGTTCTTGCTTTTGTGTGTTTGAGGGCCATGTCTGAGCTGGGAGGCCTTCCGGCTCTGGAGCATCTCAACCTGTCGGGCTGCCTGTCGGTCACGGAGGCGGGGCTTCACCAGCTGGTGTCGGCTTGCCCTGCCCTCAACGACGAACACTTCTACTACTGCGACAACATAAACGGTAGGGAACCACATAGAACGTTTCAAGCTGTAATTAACTTGACAGGAAAGTTCATCTCCAAATACAAGAATAAGTCATCTTACGAAAATATTTCTATGATGAGAAAAAAAGATGGAGAACTCATTTTAAAAAGTTGTGGTTTTGTGTTACCAAAACAAAAAAAAAAAACCATCACTCACTCCCTACTCACTAGTAGTGTACTTTTATTTTCTGCATATTACATCATCTATGTTGTTTTTTTGTTTTTTTTTTCTTGTGTGTGTGGTCAGGTCCATATGCAGACACGGCAAGCGGATGCCAGAACCTGCAGTGTGGATTCAGGGCATGCTGTCGCTCCGGAGAGTGACCGCAACATTAGCCCCCGCCCCTCCCTTTCTAATTGCACTTTATCCAACTGGGTGTCACTTGCTGTACGTTGCTGTGTGAAACTGTTAAGACATCGTTGCTCCGTGTACACTCCAAGGACCATTTGTTTCGAGAGCCACTCTTTCAACCTAACAACATCCAACTTTCCCCAATGTATGATGAGTTTGGTGTTTATTTTGACTATCCCGACAAAAGGGTTTCGGAGCAGATAAGAAACACTGTCACTCATTAAAAAGGAACAGCAGAGAGTATGGTTGTCATTTGATAAGAGAAATAAAAGTTACCTGATGACAAAAAAGGGGATTGTACAGTACCTTTTAGAAAATGCCACAAGTACACAAAAAGAATGTTGAAATGTTATAAACATGCTTGCAACAGTCAATTGAAGTTTACAGGCTATGCAGAAGACGCTTGTATATCAACATGTTTACATGCCAAAAATAGAAAATTAATATATTCAGGTGATCCTTCATAAAAACAATTTGAATCCATATCTTTTTTTTAAAACACTTTGCATGGGTAGAATCTGAATATAACATATAATATACATATATTTTTTCCCCTGAGTAAATTTTACGGGTGAACTCCATAAGCTGGAAATGTAACTCGGCAATACTCAGCATCACGCGATGGCGCGAGTTTAGAAAACTGGAGCTGAATTCATTTCAGCTCTTTTTGGCACAGTGACGTCATCCGGGAAAAATCGCATGAAGGTAAGATTTGACCCTCATACGAAGAGAGAAATGCTGACCTCTTGTGGCATTTATCGGAACGTACAAAGCTTTTTGTGCGATTTTCGCCGTTGGGAGCAGGGCTCGACCACCCTACCTCATGATACAAAAGTGAAGTTGTAATAGGTGGAAAGAAGCTAATTTTATATGTCGTATTTTGCAGTCTGACGTGTTAAAAATAGATTTCAAAGTTAACCTTTCGAAGGTGCTTTTGCATCATCGGGTCGCAATGACGTTGAACCGAGGGGGAGCGTCACTCACGACACGCAGAGTCAGCCACGGACGCTGATGCCTTACCTGTACAAACATTTCTTGCTGGTTTGTGTGCCTGTCAGGCACGCACGAGAGAAGCGAGGTACACCCAGACAGAGAGTACGTTGTTGGGGTATGGGTGGACGTAGACGGCCAAGGCGAATTCCACGTTGGCTGTCTGAATGGTGTGCACCCCCGTGCTGTGCACCGCCTCCACCACGGGACCCATTTCCGAGAAAGCCATGTGCAGCGGGAACCCCGAAATCTGGCGGGGGGAATGAAGCGTCAGACCCCATGAAGGAGCCACACCAAACATGATTATATCTAGTTTTATTTCATCGTCTCATTAATCAGTTATCAGAATTTTATTCTGCCAAGTATCAGAATTGGCAGCGTCCTGAAAAATACATGTAAAATAAATAAATGAATGAATAAAAATTGGCAGAACTGAAAACTCCTTTTGTTGTTGTCGCCGCTCACCCGGTTGTCACCCAGCAGGTTCTGCAGTTCGTGCCGGTGACCCTCCGCCAGATCGCGTCCGGCGTTGCCGCCTGGGCCGCTGGCGCCCTGCTCCAGACTGGGCAGGAAGTGCTTGAGGGCGCTGGTGCAGTAGCGGTTCCAGCGGGTGGGCCGGTGGGGGCGCCACTCCATCAGCTTGTCGCGCAGCAGCTTCTCCAGCCTGACGCGACAACAATTCCGCTCTTTCAAATAGAGAGCTTTGAAACTACCCAAACAGGACAGCTACATTAGAATTAATTGAATGAAAATATCAGGAAGTGCTTGAGGGCGCTGGTGCAGTAGCGGTTCCAGCGGGTGGGCCGGTGGGGGCGCCACTCCATCAGCTTGTCGCGCAGCAGCTTCTCCAGCCTGACGCGACAACAATTCCGCTCTTTCAAATAGAGAGCTTTGAAACTACCCAAACAGGACAGCTACATTAGAATTAATTGAATGAAAATATTTTCGCTATGACCAGCAAAATACTAAAAACAATATAAAATCCTTTTTTTTTTTTAAACATGACAAAATATTTTAAACAACGATTGAAAAGAGCCCCAAAATATTTTTTCCCCTGACAATGGGAATTGCTCACCTCTCTTGCAGCTCGACTGCGGTCGCTTTGTCCGAGTGTCGGTATACCAGCTCTTCTGGCTGCGCAACGATGCACATAACCACATGTATGATGAAATAATTGCCAGCCGTGCGTACAAACAAGTGCGGTATAGTCACCTGCACGCTGGAGAGTCCGGGATGGGCGAAGGAGCGTGTAAAAAAGGGCCTCCAGCCATTGGCTCCGCTCCCATCCCAACGTATCCTCATTGGGGG